GCTCTAATGATAGCATAATGCTAGAGTTCCCTAAGGGTAAATTTTTACGGTCATTTGGCGACCGATCTTTCACTATGGCAGCTCCGAAACTTTGGAATGAACTTCCGAAAGAAATTCGTGACATTTCGTCAATAAACGTTTTTAAAACTTGTCTTAAGACTCATCTTTTTAAACTAGCTTTTAGTATTTAGTTTATATTAAAGTTAACATTTCAACATTTTAATACGCTTTTAACATTAGTTATATTGTAATGCAGCGCTTTTGATCATTACATGTAAAAAGCGCTTTATAAATTATTAAATTATTATTATTATTATTATTGTTCCAAAAGGATTACGCATCTCAACGCAATATCATACTAAGTATGCGCGAAAGATCTTGATGAAAGCCGAGTTGGCATTAGTAAGAGAACGAATTGCTTGGACTCGTAGACAGTTATGCAGAGTGGATCAACGTATTTTATCTCTGAATGAACAATTGTGGATGACTTTAAATGAAGAACACTATGCGACAGCTAAAAGAATAATCTCTGCGTCTTCTACGAAAACTTTCAACAAAGCACGTTCCACTCATGCAGTGACTCAGATTGCCAAATTCACAAAATTGACGTCCTTTGGTCGGACGCATCGCAGACAAGAAGATTTGGCCAGTCATCCACTACAACGCACCGTTATCAATATGAGTGCTAGAAGGCTTACGCCGGTTGAAGAAGATGTCTTGGCTCTTGGATTAAATTTCGCTGTGGTACCCCGTGTTCTTCCTAAAGAAGAATTCGTACAACGTCTGGAACCGAAGTTATACCACATGACGAACGATGAAGCTAGTAACATCCGCGTCCAAATCACCGAGGTTCTACGACGTGCAACGCTTCCAGCTTCGAATTTAACCAAGAATAAGAAGGATACATTGAAAAACTTAAGAGCAGATAAGTCAATACATATTTTAAAGGCTGATAAGGGTAACGCTACGGTTATTTTAGATCGTCTAGAATATGATAGTAAAATCCTGGCTCTTTTAAACACTTCAACTTATAAAGAGCTTAAAAGAGACCCTACAGCTAACATTGAACGTAAATATGTTCCAAACTATCTGGTTTTAAAAAGGCAGGTATTTTGTCTCAAACACTTCATAATTGTTTGAGACCTTCAGCTACTGTTTGTCCAAAATTTTATGGTTTACCTAAGATACATAAACCTAATGTCCCACTAAGACCTATTGTAGCGTCCATAGGTTCGCCAACGTATGCCCTGGCTAAATATCTCGCTGAGATATTGAAACCAGTTGTTGGAAAAACAGAACATCATGTAGTAAATTCTAAAGAATTTGTAACAAAAATGGAACAAATTAGATTGGGTATAAGAATGACATTCTGGTAAGTTTTGACGTAGTTAGCTTGTTCACTAATGTTCCAGTTGAAGAGGCTTGTAATATCGCGAAAGAAAGACTTCTTTCAGATATTACATTATCTCAAAGAACTAATCTTTCTCCTGAGAATGTTCATGATTTGTTGAAACTATGTTTGACCACGACATGTTTTCAATGGCGGGAGAAATTCTATGAACAAACAAACGGCGCTCCAATGGGAAGTCCATTGTCGCCTGTTATGGCTAATTTGTTCATGGAGGAATTTGAAAAGAAGGCCTTAGCTACTGCAAAGTTGAAACCAGGTTTCTGGTTCAGATACGTGGATGATACATTGAGTAGCTGGTCTCATGGACTAGATAATTTACAAAAGTTTCTAGACCACATTAATAGTTTGCATCCATCGATCAAGTTTACTTTTGAAGTACAGAAGGATGATAAAACTATACCGTTCTTAGATGTTCTTTTCACTATACATGATGATGGGTCGCTAGGACATAAGGTTTATAGGAAACCAACACATACAAACAGGTATCTGCATTATAATTCATTTCATCATCCTAGTATTAAAAACTCTGTGTGTAAGACACTCATCAACCGAGCGAAAACAATTTGTGAGGTAAGTAACATTGACGATGAATTAGAACATTTAAGAAATGTTCTAAAAATGAATGGTTACCCACGGCATTTCATAGATAATGCTATGAAAACGCCACAAAGTATACAGCAGAAGATTGAATATCAGTCGTCTGTTTGTCTACCATACATTGGTCCGGCTTCACACAAAATCGAAAGAATTTTGAGGAATGAACCAGGTATAAAGGTATACCATTCCAGCGAAAACAAATTGTTTCGAGCTCTTTGCACACATAAGGACAACGTAAATGAATCTCAGAAACCTGGTGTGTACCGCATTCCTTGTGAATGTGGTCTGGTTTACATTGGTGAAACTGGTCGAAATCTCTCAGTACGTCTTAAGGAACACAAGACGAATTGCGAGAAAGCCGAGCAAGATAAATCTGCTGTGGCTAAACATACTTGGACTTACGACCATCGTATAAAATGGGACGAAGCAACCATTTTGGCGATTGATAGTCATAAGTTCTCTCGCAAAATGAGAGAGTCAATTGAAATCGAGAAGCACAATACTATAGATCAGGAGGGAAAGCCACTAGATAGTACGTGGCGTGCTCTCTTTAATGTGCAAAATGAATTTCTCTTGTCTTGGACACAGAATAGGAAGTTATACCAGAAGCGTAACTCGAGCAAATATTTGTCCGCGTTTTTACAAGCGATTCGTCATCAATCACGCCATCCTGGCTAGTACAACCGGCACTTTGTACCTACCAAATTCTGATAAAAACTTCCGGCTGTACTAGCCAGGATGGCGTGGCCTGACGTGAGCGAGTTAAAATTTTCGTGGACGTCAAACAATAAGGGAAACGACTAGAGTTACGCTTCTGGTATAACTTCCTATTCTGTGTCTTGGATGCGCGCGCGTTAATTGGAATCACTTCACTACGTTTGAAATGACGTGGTTGATGTGCCGTTTAATTAAATTTCAAATGACGCGAGCCAACAGATCACGACACTCTTGTATCACAGAATAGGAAGTTATACCAGAAGCGTAACTCTAGTCGTTTCCCTTATTGTTTGACGTCCACGAAAATTTTAACTCGCTCACGCCATCCTGGCTAGTACAACCGGAAGTTTTTATCAGGTTTTGCTAGGTACAAAGTGCCGGTTGTACTAGCCAGGATGGCGTGATTGATGACGAATCGCTTGTAAAAACGTGGACAAATATTTGCTTGAGTTACGCTTCTGGTATAACTTCCTATTCTGTGCTTGTATATAAAAAGAGCGTGTGAATTAAACAAGTCACATATTATTAGCACTGATGAAGATCCGGGCTTACGGATCGAAAGCTTTGCAGTAATAAATTTACGTGGTGTTTCCACAAACAAAAACAATTATCGCTTCTCCTGTTTTACAATTATGCCGTCAAAGGAGCCCCTGGGAAAGTTTTGCCTCGGGTTCCGCACAACCTTTCGGCGGCCCTACTGAACGGTTTCTACGAACAGATTACACGCCGGACAACGTATTTTTAGTGTGATACCTACCTAGACATGCGTATTACCTAGATACGTTCTGTTCTAGTTCTGTTGTGATTTGGGGTGTGATTTTATTGTTGATATTAATATTACGAGTATAGAGTTGAGAGTATAGATTTTCAAAGATAGTGGGATGTACCGTCGACTCGGTACACTGCTCTTATCGATTATATACTCAATCTACTGCATTGTACAGCACTGCATTGCACTGTTCAGTACATTACTGTGCGGTACCACTCTGTGGCGGTACTGATGGTTCGGTCCATTGTTCAGGCTTTCTTTTATTTTTTGTTTCGGCATTCAGTATATCAGGTGATTTGACGGTGGGCAAAGGACTGGGACTAGCAATAGAATAGAAATCCATTTTCGTACCTTTAATCACTTGTCACGCCCTGATTCTTTTGTGAAACTGTTTGAAACTTTGTGTCTGTGTCTTGCACAAGGAAATGAATGTCTGGGACAAATTTGAAATAGAAATCTAATATCGTTGATGAGATATTGAGTAATTTTAAACCAGAAATGGATTTCTATTTTACAACTAGTGACAGGCCTTTTCCGAGATCACCTGGTAGTATACCGCTATAAGTGTGATCACTCTAGCAAAATTGACTGTATATATAGCCATTATATATGAGCCATGCTTTAGGAATAGACCCATTGCACTGACGTCACAAATCCCTAGAGTGTCCTCCAGATGCTCCCTAACAATATCTGTTCGGGTACAACAACCACATACAGCGCAAAAATTAACAATTTTAATACAAAATTATTATAAACTTTTACAACATTTGCTTTGTTTACAAAAGTTATACTATGCATAGATTGCTAATTTGTCCTCCAGATGCATCGTCACCGGCGCTGTGACGCCATGTGCAATGGGTCTATAGTGTACTTGAGTTGGATTTTCGGCTGGCCCAACAAGATCCAACACGTAATTAGTGAAATAGTGAAACCTGAGTATTTTGGCAATATAACGCAATGCAATACAGACATACAGCATGCATAACTGTAAGAAACACAACACTAACCGTATAATAGTCTATTTTAAATTGCTTCTTCAGCTCCATCTTTATCTTCGAAATCCACGTTGCTTCACCGACCGAACTTTCCTGCAGAAATTAACAAGTAAGGAAGAATTTTTGTTTCTAACACTAAAATAGCCAAGTACTGCGAATTGAACACGGCACAGCATGAACATTTTTTAGTCCTTGCTGTCTGAAGTGCCTTTTCTTTGTTTTAAATTATAAATATATAGTTAGTATACTCTTATATTTACATTCATAGTTATATAGTATATTACTACATGTATTTAGTTATAGGGCCTATTATTATTACGGTATTATTACCTACAGCTGTACTGTTATAAATAAATATAGACTAAATATATGAAAGTACTTACAGTATTGTGTATCGTATGTGGGGATGAGAACTACTTGTATATATATCGTTAACGTCCCGAATACTGACCGTCCTTAATCATTGGACCGATTTTGCACTCACCTGCGTCCCAATTGCGTAAATATCATGACCTACGACTTCCATGATCTTTAAATCATTTATCGTTTCTCCAGTACCACTGCATGTCAACCATGACTCTATCTTTTGTGGTGAAGCACTTCCTTTAGTTAAAATATTATTTAATAGTTATTTAATGAAGATCGAGAGAGTCAATTAAGTCAAGGTAGAAGAGAGAACGGTTCAGAAGATGCCGAGGACATACAAAGCGTGCAAAATCAGATGCTAGAATTAGCGATCGAGGACGAATTGCTGGACTGTAATGAAGCGGAACCAAGCAGGGTGAGATCAGATGTAAATCAAGTTTTTGTTAGTGAAAATGTAGTTAATTTGTCAACTAGAAATCTATCGCATGCGGAAGTTAAAGTGCTGTCAAAAGGACTTAATTTTTGTCCCACAGCAAGAG